AAGTACAATATTTCTGCGTACCAAGAACTGTACAAAATGTACGGGACCAAAGTAAACCATTCGTCATATTCAAGGCAGGACAACCATAACCTAACTGCGAACCATGAAATATTTACTAAACATAAACCATATTTACCATAACCATATTTACCATATAAACCATATTAACTGCGAACCATACTATAAACCATAACTATAACTATAAACTATACTATATAAGCCATACTATAACTATAAATCATATTTACTGCGAACCATAAAAATGTACCGGGACAAGGTAGCAAGAAACCATGAAATTTGATCCTCGACGCCAACGGGACCATGGGTTGCAGGGGGATTGGGTGGGGAATGTAAAGCAAAATGAGAACATGACAGCTAAATAAAAGCTCACTATATGGCACCTATATATGGCATGGAACATGGATGCCAATGAGATGCTGGGTTGAAGGGGATATAGGGTGGGGAGGTTAGGTTAGGTTAGGTTAGGTTAGGTTAGGTTAGGTTAGGTTAGGTTAGGTTAGGTTAGGTTAGGTTAGGTTAGGTTAGGTTAGGTTAGGTTAGGTTAGGTTAGGTTAGGTTAGGTTAGGTTAGGTTAGGTCAGGTCAGGTCAGGTCAGGTCAGGCTAGCTTAGCTTAGCTTAGCTTAGGTTCTGGTCTATTCTCAGTTAGGTTAGGTTAGGTTAGGTTAGGTTAGGTTAGGTTAGGTTAGGATATGTTCTGGACTATTCTGGCCTGCGTGTTTCATAAATGTACCTAAACTTGATAAGAAACGATTTTGGTTGCTTTATTATTGTTACCTTGGTCCCGTACATGTTTTATGGTTCTTGATAAGCAGAAATATTGTGCTTTCGCAACAACGTAGAAACGGCGCTTGGAAGTCGAGGCAGTGCGGTGCGGGGCGTGCGGCACTCGGGAGCTCGCTATCGTATTTATTAAAATTCGAGGGTAGGAGCATGATTCTATCCGTTTTGAAATTATTTACGATATGTTCCGCCTTAAACACGACGAATAGTTTACCTTGGTCCCGTACATTTTGTAGAGTTCTTGGTAAGCAGAAATATTGTATTTACGCAACGGCAACGCAGAAACGGCGCTGGGGAGTTCAGGCGGTGCGGTGCGCGCGGCGCTTGGGAGCTCGCCATCGAAGTTATTGAAATCCGAAGGTAAGAGCATGATTCTACCTGTTTTGAGATGATTTACGATATGTGCCGCCCTGAACACGACGAATGGTGTGCAATGATTTTTTCTAAAGTTAGGTAGGAAAGTACACCTACACCGGGAAAATATATGGCGCACCTGAGTAAGTAAGACCGCATTCTCCACGACGCACACACCTACCGATACCTTTTCAAGAAACGGACAAGCATATCACGGCTCTGGCTCCCACCACGCGACGAACCCATCGCCTCCCGTACCCGAAACCACCGGCAACTCAGCCTCCTGCAACTGACGAGCGCATTTTCGAGCAGTGGAGGTCCGCGTCGCAACAGACACCTACAACAATATTCGTTGGACCAGAAAGTCACTAGCAGCACTAAAACCACCTATGGCACATCTATTTCAACTAGATCATTCAAAGACTCGCAGAGCAATAAGTCCAGGATGCCAACTCTGCTCTTAACTTACCTCATATTAAGAAAACATGTTAGCGATTTTGCCAATGGACGTGCATCTTGCAAACGGTTCGGTGAGAAAATTCCAAAATATCCTTTTCATCCTTTTCAAAGCGCTTGTTTCATTCCTGCTCGTGTCATACCAGCCACCAGTCACCATCCAACTTGCAGTTAAACTGCAAATCATAGCATTCAAACACACCACATATCGGCACTTTTAAGATAGAATCATGACATTAAATGGTATCCAAATATCACGTTTGTGGGCGACACTTTTGGTGGTAACGGCTTCTTTTGGGTTCTTAAATGTCATCAGAAATTACGTTCCCAAAATGGGAGTTTGTGGCATGCAGCACTCCAAAACTTATTACTATTGTATAAATGATAGTACGCCAACCACTTTTTCAGAAACCGGTTAATGCCGGTCTTTGAAGATTCGAGGATATCTTAATTATTTAACAACGGCATCACGTCTCCAGGCTCAACCAGTACCTATACTTGTGAGATAGAGATGGTCCATAACCCGGTGGGAAAAAATCGCAGTACTCGGTTGCTCTTCTCACAATGGGGGCTATGGGGAGACCCGGGGAGAACAAGCCGGAGTACAAGCCGGAGAACAGCAAGTTTTTAGCAAAGTTAGCCAAATTTAATTGAAAAATTTACGTGCTTTGGTATCGCCCAGACACGGGCCTTCCTCAGAGGGTGTTGAAATGACATGATATGCCTTAGAATGAGAAATATCTATCAATTTGTAGTATAGGTACTGCATTATCTCGGCGTTGTCTTGCGCCACCAGAAGATAAGATATATTTGTAGGTGGAAAATAGCAACTTGAAATGCATGGCTGTAAAGCTCTATGAATTTTCTACCACAAACTTAACAATTTGTGTTGGTGCAACTGCATAAATGGCTTTTCTTAGACTATTCATCACAGCCTGTCATTTCAGGACCGACTCGTGGTACTTGTACTTGGTTGGGCCATTGACGAGTGCTAGAATGCCATCACAATGTCTGTGAGTGCGCCAGAACTCCTGTGCGTGGCTTGTTTGTTTGTCTTGATGTGGTGGGGGTGAGGGGCCAGGAGGGTGACCGAAGCTGATTGGGATTATGTGCATCGTAGTTGCGAGTTTGAGGTATTCAGCGAGGCAAAGTGGAATTCGTTGTCTTCAATTTTCACGCAGCATGCATCCACGCTTCTAAAGTTACATGGGATTTAGTTTTGGACCGCTATCAAGTCATTCCAAAAAAGGTAAATAAATACCGGGGGACTGATCTATAAATGTTAACCACTGCAGGCCGGTGCAGGATCACCTTGTTATAACCTGCTCTACCTACAGCATGGTGGGTAGGTGCGTAGGTACTAAGGTATCTATATACAACATTAATGTTAGGCTTGCGGTTCCCATGTGGGATCAGATATGAGGCTGGCCTCTTTTCAGCCTGTGGTTATAATTGCTGTAACATGACAGGTGGCAATGCTGCCATGTTCCTTGCTGTCAGGCATAAGGTCCTGCAGTGACACTATTACAATTTTCCCTGCATAGGATCATAGGGAACTTGGAGAAGAGGAGAGGGATAACAGGAGGCGCAGGAAGAGAGGAGGAGCAGAAGTGGAGGAGGAGTGGAAGGAAAAGAGTGACAGAAAGGGAAGGTGAGAAACTGAAAGAGGAGAAGAGCAGAAAGAGAAGGATAGGAAGAGGAACACTTTTGGTATGTTTATATTAATTATGTAAAGGCCAAAAGGACTACATATTAGTGATGTCACATGCATAAGGCTTTCATAGTCAGTTGCATCTGCCTAAGACTCATTAAAAAAACAGGGTGTGATGCACAGTGGTTGTCCACAATTCAGTTTGTCAGTAAGCAGAGGATGCACCTGATTTATCATTTTGATATTATGTAAGTTTGCATGTAGATAGGTAATGATGTGTAACTGAGCTTTGTATGATGCACCTGTGAATGCATATGTATAAAGTTTTGTTGTTAACCTCTATCTGTATATTTTTTATAAACATGTGCCATTAATCAATCTTTGCACGTATAAGTGAGCTAGAAGCACTACAGGGATATGGATAAGATCAGTGTGGCGCCCTCACTCACAAGAAGTGCTCAGTTCCACTTAAATGCAAAATTGCATGCTGACACTAATTTTAGCCAGAAAAACACTGGGAAAATGTTAACCCATTAAAGGCAGTATGAAATGTATTCCAAGCAAGGCCCCATTGTGCAGACACTCATTCCACATTAGACAGACCTTTGCCCGCAGGCAAGTTTGTACTCCGACCACAAAAATTTTTGTACTCCGCCACCAGCAAAAAAAAACTAAATTTCCTACCCTGTCGTACTCCGAAACCAGAATTGCTAGAGGCACTTTTTGATGTCAACACGCGTGCAATGGATTCCCCAGAAGAAAACCAAGGACTTAACACGACCCGCAGAATATGCCCCATTGGTATCCCCATAAAACCGCAGGATGGGGGGGGGGGGTATTGCCCCCTCCCCCCGCCTGTCAGGGCGAGTAACTTGTTGAGAACGAGCTGGCCCAGTGTGAAGTTATTGACAAATTTCGATTCAATTTACTTGTTGGGTACGGTGAAGGCGCCCACCAGTCAAAACATGCCACGCCAGGCTTGGAGCATGCCTAAGATATAGTAGACAGTTCGATGACGGTTGAGATGGAACTCGAAGCGCACACGTGATTTTCATAAGGGGTCATTGCCTCTTTGGGCCGCCATATTTGACGCCGTGCCCAGTGCTGCTTGCCACTAGTTCGAAATCTGCCATGCATTCTGCTGCCCAGACTATCGAGGTCCTTCCTTGTTTTGTTGTTGCGGTCGAGAAAAGCGAATCCATCCGTAGGTCGAGTTTACACGTGAAGCCCCGACAAGCCCCGAGGATGGAAGAAAACTCGTGCCGAGAGTGGGCTGTTTCATCAGTCCAGGGCAGGTGCGCCTGCTGTCCTAGCAGCAGCACTTATCTTGACCTTTGTTAGAGGACAGAGTACTTCACGCGACTCCTTCCCACGCGTTTATCTATTTATCATCATGCGACGGTGCGCAGAATTTTACGCAGCAATGGAATTGTGTGTACTAAAATAATTGTGTTTGAAGAGCCCTGACGCATCAGTGAACAGAGATAAACATTGTTGCTCCGTGACTATTTTGCATTCCGTTACGACCAGCTGGCTTCAGACATGACGTCATAACAGGAGCATGGCATCTAAGCCCGCAACCATTGGCTACTTGTATTAAGTGTGAGACTACCCATTGGCACTGAAACCTCCACTGTTTATGTTTGACATTTAAAGTTGTAAGCAACCGCTGATATATGAATTGAAGCTGCGAGACTATAAACATACGCATTGATAGACTGATGCGGTACTACTTACAGATGCCACATAACGAGCCAGGCGAGGCGGAGATGTGGAGAACACCCGTACGGCCGGGCCGGACCTGAGCCTCCTTCCAGGATACGGACACCTGTGGAGAAGCACCAGACGGGTGTGGGTGGCAGCGGGCGCCAAAAAGCTTCAACAGATTTTGATGCATGCTTCAATCCTGGCCTATCGTATTCCACCCCCCGTGACCGCTTTATGACCATTTGCAATCGACGTGCCCTGAAAGTCCTTCCTTCAATCGTACTACTTTTGAAATGATTTTTGTGCAGACACTCCAAAATCAGCTTCCAGGAGATCCTTCAGAAGTTCTTAGCAATGTCAACACATTCTAACTATTCTGAGATAGTCAGTCAAATTTTATCACCACAACGCGGGGCACTGGACGCGTCGGTGCTGCGCAGGATCCTCCGGGGCATTCCGGGCACGTCGGGGCAATAGCCGTCACATTGCGACCATCCCGGCCATCTCGGGAGGGAGGCCGACGCTCTCTGGCCTCTGCGGGCGGGGCGCGATAGAGGTGACAGTGCTGGCCACCCTCGACCAAAGAGGGCACTGACTCATGCGTCTCGGGCCACGCTGAGCACGCCACGGCGCCGGTCAGCCCGCTCAGCCCGTGTCGGCGCCGGCCAGCCCGTTCAGCTTGTGTCGGCGCCGGTCAGCCCGCTTAGCCCGTGTCGGCGCAGTGATGGGCGCGTGTCGGCCATGCAGAACACGTCAAAGCTGTACCTCGTTGGGCAAACACTTGTCCGTCTCCACCAGCCGAGAGTCTGCCACGACCTCGCCGTCAGCGGTCACGGCGAACACCAACAGCTTGAAGGAGGGCGCCATGGCGGAGCGCACCGTCAGCCGAAGATGGCCGCCGGTGATCACACCGTTCTCCACCACGTCCCCTCTCGCCATGATCTGCCGGCGCCAAGTGGTCATCACATCTGTTACGTCACAAAACAACACGTGTAATAGCCTTGAGGCGAGTTAGATGAAAGAATTGCTGCCTGGTCTGTCATCTCCGGTTAAAAGGAGTGGCCTACCTTTTGGACAAATGTGAGAAAAACAGGCTCGTGTGAAACCTCAGGACTAGTTATGTCTTATAACAGAACTGGGCATCGCCACTATAGCGCCGTCAAGACATAACAAGTGTACCAATTATAATTACTGTCGAGTCGAAATTATGCTGGCAACGCTTTGTGATAGCACTTCTCTCTGTCTCTGCAGTCGCGACCACCGTCGTCACGACAGCGACAGTGCGCACCTCGATGAGTGCGAATTAAAAACAAAAACAAAACATTTGTGGTTGGCCCAGCGGGCAAGGGCATGTTTTCGAGAAGTTTTTTTGGCTAAAATTTGAACCAGTGCGTGAAATACATGATGTGATATTCTCACTCCCAAAGCCAAAGTGTGCCGTGAAAATAGCCACTGTGGTAAACTCATATGGGAGAAATCAAAGCAATAGTATCGCGTTTTCTTGAGTTTGCGAAATAGGAACCTCACGCTTGCAATTTGTTTTCTCTAAAAATAGTGTTTCAAGCATTTGTAGCATTCATTACAGTTACGTTTTGACACATTAGGATATTGCAAACGTTACGGAATACATACGTTGGAAAAAGCACGGCAAATGAATTACATAAATTTCAAAGAAGTGAGCAGTGAGTCAAATTAGATTTTTCTCGGAGGGTCGGCTACCTCACATAAAAATTCTGAGCTCTTCAGGATTTCCAGAAAGGTCGTATTTCTGCTCAAATTGCACGCGTCTGATGTAAAATAAATGAAAAGTGCAAGAAAGGCGGAATGTTCCCTTTAAAGCAACGGAAAAATTGCGGAAGTCTAAAACGTAGAATGTGCCAAACATTGCACTTAAGCGAACTTGCTTTTCCTGCATGCACTCATTACACAAGCGGCACGGGCGATGCATTATGGCTTAAAATAAACAACACAATCCAACAGAGAAATTGGACATTGGACGCACAGAGATTAATTCCATAAAGAGAGAGAAATGCGTACAATTCGAAGTGGTGTGTAACTTCCTACGCTTTTACCTAGAATCCAGTTGCATAAGACGAGGAGTAAGCATGTACTCCTACGCCACAAAATGGTGCTATTTACAGGGAATTTGGGAGTATGCATTTACTTTGTAGTTCATCATGCAACCTTTGGTTTCATAAACATAGCTGATTTCACGACGGGTTAGACCGCTTGATCAGGGTTGTCACTTTCTAAAATTGGTTGGGGAGCGGGAAGCGGTTCAGGTTCGGGCAAAAAAGCTCACCTGACACACTGAAAACTCTTGTTATCCTCGATTTTTGGCCACCTGAGCTTGCGTCCTTGGTATTAAAACTATAGAAAAACTGTGGACTCAGAACTGGTTTCCTGTTGAAAAATAGCTTGCCATTTAACCTTAACGTGAAATACCTTTTTGTGAAGGCTTAGAAAAGAACAGGGCTACTAAATATTTGCACCATTAGTATCTAGGGCTATATACTTACATCATTCATTCACTATAATAGAATAGGGTTCATTCAGAAACAGAAAATCCAAAAATGTGCTAAGGTCAGCATTGTATCGAGGAGATCGGGGGGGGGGGGGCTCCCGAAAGCATACGAAGTGACGACGTGCTCTTGACTTTGGAGGAGAATGGAGTGGACCATGTCGCTTAGGGGCCTACTGCACTGCATTCGTAGCACAGGATATGCCCCTGGCATCCCTCCAACGGTCATAGGTCCATTCACGTCACTGAAGTCACCAATGTGTGTCCATTTAGACGGCTCCTGAGCACCTCGTGGCAGGGATTTCAAGCCGGCATTACGGTCAAAAGATGATGTCGCTAAGCAGTCAAATGGCTGGATGACCGTAGCTGGTAAACAGGGATTGTGTACAGGAAAGCTCAGAGTATAAACCAAAAACGGCCATGCCCAGAGCATGGAGTCGAAAAAACGGGCATTATGCATTGCATGGAATTACTTACTATTACTGGTATTTGTTTTGGAAGAGGCATATTGCTGAAATATGGACGCATTTTTATCTCCATTCTCCTGCTTCTTCTACGAGGAAAAAGACTATTATTATTGTCTCATCCCAACCCATATGCATAAGCGGGCGGGATATGGCTTAAGAATAACATCTACGGCGCAAACAAATGAAATTTATTTCGGCTGATCAACGCGTGCGTTTCACAACAATCGGGTCGGGTTGCCGTAATTTTCCCGGTTTGCCTTAATTTGTCTGATTTGCATGCGAGTCTATGTCGTTTTACAGCTGGTGCACCTTTTTTGATTTGCACTTGCTGCTAGGAATTTAGCATAGGCGCTGCCGATCTAGTAGTATGATATATCAATGACATGAACGCACCAACCAAACGGTTTCGTTTACTTCTGCAAGTAGGGGAACGATGTCAAGAAGTATAGGGTGTCGGCATTTCAGCGAAACGAAAATGACGATACTTGCTGTGCGCATGAATTGTTCACACAAATCGCAAATTTGTTTCTGAGTCAACTCATGAGTGATATAATATATCATGCCTCTTTGACAAACTTTCCGGATCAATAACAGGCGTCCAAGACTCCCCTGTCTTGGGCGACGTCATCGCTGCCATGGCAACGATCACGGGCATCGCCATTGAAATTACTTAAGCTGAACGTGTTTCCTTGTTCATGAAACTGGCATAGGAAAAAGGTGTTTACGTCTAAGTTACCTCGGCCAGTCAGGAACAAAAAGTAATTTCCAATCAAAGTGGCTACCGTAGCCATCTTGTCTTGACGTTTTGTAGACAGACGGGCATCTTGCAACCAGTTTCATGACGAAAAAAGGCGCGCAACTTTGTCAGAAGGAGCAGCTTCCGGCGTTTTCACTTCTTATCCGGTTGCATAGGGTGAATAATTACTATATGCTCTTATATTATGACGTCATAAATGTCAAGGTGACTTTGAAACACTCTTCTGGATATGCCTTTCCGCATTTTCGCGGGCCTATAGCTCAGAAACTAGCGGGTCGTGTGGGTCTTAAGCAGGGCTAAATTGTGAACTGCGCCGAAAGGTCTTTAAGATGGCTATTTCAGTTCAAAACCACATATAAATGTGGAGCAATCTCTTTCAGTTTGAAGTAAGAAGCTACTGCACGCCTCATCAAGAATCTATCAGATACCATAAAGTCACCTGATTTGACCATGAAATAGAAAGTGCCTTCGTGAATGCAGCAAGACAAAAGGTGCATGCCCCGTCGTAAAATCAGCAGTAGTGATAATAGATTAGCCAGTTCGTGACCAAGGCGGAGGAGTAGAACATTTAGGTCGATACTCAAACTGCGGCGGGAAAACGCTGCGCTATGAAGCGGTTACATTGTATAAATGGCGGGCTCTGCACTTCACCTGGACGTCGCACAGGTATGTGAGAAAAGCAGTAAAACTACAGCTCGTAGTGTAAATTGGTAGGCATCCAGATATATAGCAAAAAGTGCGGTGGATAAGGCTGACAAGCCTGTAGGAAACCATATCTATTCCCAGCATGCCGTGGATCTCAAATTATATTTTTTCTAGCTCTGGTCTGAACGAAAATGATGCAAGTACACAAACACACAACATAGGGCAAAGCTTAAATCACATATTTCAGCGAACTTTGATTGTGTGGTTGTCTATTGCATGCATACGTAGTACGGGAATCCAGGGTATGAACTCGGAACCCAATTTTGCAATTTCGTTTACTTCCGCGGGCAGCGGAATTATGTCAACAGGTGTGAAATCGTAACAATCGAACAGGAAAAAGCGACGGCCATCGCTGCATTATTAATTAAGTATACAGCTCGAAAGCTATTGCCAAGCTTTCACATCATTCGCGACACCATTACATACCACTTAAAGGATATTTCTGGATCAGTTACAGACATCAAAGCTCCGGGGCTTAAAATAAGGTCATCGAGGGAATGACGCCAAAGCCATGATATTTCCTCGGAAATGACTTCAACCTTGACATTGGACGATTTGCTTCGGAGGTATGCTGCGAAGTGTATGAAACCGGCGTAATAAATACGGTGTAAGGACGAAATTACTTCGGCCAACCACAAGTAAGAAGTAACTCTCTGAGAAACCGATGGCAGGTTCAAACAAAGCGGCGTCCGCTCCGCCACCGGCCATACCGGACCATGAACGTCGCAGCTGGAGACACATCGAACGGTAAGTCAGGAGCTGCAGCCGCCCCGCGCTCCGCTCCGCTCTCACCATGTACTGGAGCGGCACGTCGCGCAGGTTGCGGCTGCTGTGGATGGGTACGCCAACCGTCCGACCGCACGTGCCGCCGCCCAGCAGCTGCCGGACGTCGGCCAGCAGGAACGAGTCGCTGGGCGAGTACCAGGCGCGCACGGAGGGCAGCGCGAACCGCTGGTCACGTCCCAGCAGCCGGCCCTGCCACCAGCCAGCGGTCAGATGTCGTGTTTGCCCGGCCACCGGGGCGTGCTGCCTGGGCTGGGCCCAGGGCTCTGGCGAATCGCATGGGCGAACTGACAGAGCTGGAGCGGCCGAGCGCGTTTGTGAAATCACGCGCAAGCCAGCAAAATAACTTAAAAGTTGCGGTATTGAATAAAATACACGTCAGGGGGATTCAAACCAAACGTCCAGTTGTAACCGTGAGATTACAATTCACTCGCGACTGGGCGGTGGCGCGTTCTTATTACAACGCACACTCAGATGTTTGCATAAAGATGTTTTGCAGCCATTCAAGGTTTGGTGCCCAGAATCCTACGACCGTTTTACGGCCTGGTGATATTCTTCGTCATGTAGTGAAGAAAATTGTGGTCCATTTATATCGGTACTCTAAGCTGGATCTCTAAAAGTTGTGGCAAGGATATAGCCAGGCTACAGAACAGCCAGATAATTCAGGCCCGAAAAGGCAAAGCTGCTGAACAGGATATCAGGTTAGTACAGTCATTTATATACCTGGCTGTAACCTTTAGCATACACTCTTAGATGTTCTCATCATAGCCGATGACGCCTCGGCTTCGGCATGCACTCTCAGATGTTCTCATCATGGCCGGTGACACCCAGGCTTCGGCATACACTCTCAGATGTTCTCATCATAGCCGATGACACCCAGGCCTCGCACGCCACGCGGATCGCTCAGCCCCAGTGTGGACTAACTTTGAATGACAGAGAGGAGATCGATGCACTCTGGGCGGGGACGACGTAATTGATCCGACCGGTGCCGTCCGTGGTGTAGGTGGTGCATCTTTCGGCTCGGTAAGCAGTCCTGGGGCTTTTCATCAGAAAGGGAAGGCTGCAAATGCCCAACAGGTGTATATATGTGTGTGCGTGTTCATTAACACATTTCGTATCACGTTTCAAGCACACGGTTTTCCGTTGTGCATACATTTACACAGGAAATATACGATACGCTGCTTTCTTTTGCGGTGCGTCCCTGTTGAAACAAAGCTTGAAGCAATGATACTGCGTTGTGGTCTGACTAGAGGATCAAATGCTCATCCAGATGTGGAGAATACGCACCACAGAATATGGCATACAGGGCTCTATGCTCTAAAATAGACAGAGGCCAAAGATAATGCATAGACCATAAAGTAGATAAACGGTTATTAGCGGTGCACTAGTGCTCCAGGCTGCTGTGATGTGACGAGAGCGCAGCCACTACCATGGCAAGCACAAATAACATATGCAGCTTACCTTGATGCCGATGACTTCAGAGAACTATCTTCGTAGAAGTAAGTTGAGTAACAAATTTCCACACGTTCCTTTACCAGCGGTGAGTCATCGGGTCTTTCAAACCGCACCTACAATTATGGTGTGAACGAGAACCTGAAGTTACGATCGGAACAAGTACGAAGACAGAACAGTGACAGGTACGTAAGCTGAAGTACAGGATAAGTGACTTTCCTGCATATCCACGTAATCATTCATCAAAGCATATTTGTTGACAAAATCGCTCATGTGCACTAGTCACAGCAGGTTATTCCGGTTCCGAATTATCCATCTGCTTGGCACGTGACTGTACATGGTGAATGATTTTGAAATCATAGCGCCTCGTGAAACATGAGCACGTTTTCATAGAAACAGGTCCGGTTCAACTTAGGCAGTTATGAGAGCATGTTTCAAATGCGTTTCCTTCTTCGCACAACACAAGTCTAAGTTGAGACCCATGAACTATCAAGAAGACAGTCAGCGAATAATAAAAAGCCTACATCTACAGGAAGCACCAAGCCCTCATATCTTACCGTTCCATAGAAGTCCAAAGTTGGTTTGAAGAACTGCGGCGACTTGCTACTGATGACCTGGATAAGTTTTGATTCGCGAACAGGAACGACGATTCCTTCTGCTTGACTAATGTCTGTTCCAGCTTCCGTCACGTTCACAGATACAAAATACTGACGGACAACATCGCATTTCATGAACAACATCTTGCAGAGGAAGTCCAGTTATACAACACTGGCATTTGCATCAAGCCCATTCCTCCAGCAATAGTTCGTAGTGGTAGTTGATAGGACCATTCCATATTTCACGACAAACCGACAACAAAAGAGAAAACGCACACGTATAGGCAGTGGTATATTACCACTCAATGTCTCATTTCACCCTTTTCTTTGTCTGGGAGAAAATCCGGCTTCCTTCTTGCATACAAGTATTGAACACCCGTGAAATGCAATAGGAATGTGTCCTCTGAGTTAGGTAAGCATCGCAAAATTATTCTTTGATAATAAATCAGCGATGATTGCAATGTGGACTGGCTAATAGTAACACCATGATCACAATCTTCTGGGCACGACGCATTCACCACCTATGCCATTAAGCGTCAACGTCTTTTCTCCCCCGGGAACCATGCTCGTCTTATATACCTTACCATACCACGCCAGGGTATCATACTTCGGAAGCCTGCCGACTGGTTTTTAACGGCCAAGCCCCGCGATCCGAGCCGCTGTGATCAGACTCCTGATCGTCGATCTCGAGGGCACCGAAGGAACCCTTAACACTTAAGGGGGCCATGTGCCTCCATGTGCCCGTGCCCCTGGCACCTTCACGTATTACCCCCTCCTATACGAGATCCTAGGAACATCACAGCAGGGGCCCCAAGATATAATGCCTGTGTATTTGAGGGTTTATTAGAGGTCAGGAACCCCTGTGGCTGCCAAATGTCCATTGGGGCGCCTGACCTGGAAATGACACCTGAATATGCCAAGGGCCTCTGGCCCTCTCCAGAATGCTTTTTTCACGTCTGGAGAGTTTTGGACCCGCCCAAGAGCTTTGAGAGTATTTCATACAGCCAAAGGTAGTCACTTTTGACTTTTTGATCCTTGACTATGGCCCCGTTGCATTTGGAATATTACCCTGTAGCTCCTGGCTTCTGATCGCAGGTCAAATTCAGGGATTCTCTGCATGTTTGCACTGGGGCAGACTTAAGATTTCTTTAAGGGAAGAACCACATTTCATTGTGATGTCCCTGAAACTTGACGCCTCACCCTGCTCACTAAAGTCTCCGAATTTCAGTCACTTTACGTGCCCTCGAATATTGCCCACTTTATTTTTTGATGGCAAGTTAATTTTGCTCCCGCACCAAGACGTCAATTGATGAGATTGAGCCGGCATTAGATGGCTGCATCAGATAAACAGTTCCACCCTACAGTGGTTCAACTACACCTTTCTGCTAAACCATAACAGACAGGGGTGTTGCCGGATCTCTCTGGGGATGTGAATATCTCTTTCCAAAGATGTTGAGGACACCATGGAGTGACCGGCAGCGTAGATCGAAACAAATAAACAACTTGTCTTGACAAGCCCAGCCGTTGTTGGGAAGGAAAATGTAGTCCTTCTGTAAAATCCATCAGAAAAAATATGCACCATTTTCAAGCAAATGTGCCCGCTGTCTAGGAGAAAAACACCGACGCGCGGCGTAGCACTCTACATGGGTCGTGCAGCGCCTGCCTTTCAGCAGTGCTTAATAGCGGTCAATGGGTGGACGAACATACCTTACCTTACCTTATGGTGGACGGGAATTATTTAAAGTTACTAGGCCTGTCGGTCTCGGTCTCGTCAGGCTCCCGGTCCGGTAGCCAAACAGTCTCAAATTGACGACGCATCGAAAATTGGCACTTTCCATCGCTTTATGAAATCAATTGGTATACATGTAGAATGTGTCCCGAGGTTTCACGTGTGCGGTTTTTAGATTGAAATTCGGGACGGATTAGCATGCATGTACGTGGCGAATCGCTTTGGCTCGTATTGCTGTAACTGCTAATTAAATCGGAGATTTGACTTCCGCATTGCACAGGAAAAAAGTTTTGGTCAGAAAATAGCGAGCATTCCGTCACATCACGGGGTCTCTAGCAGGACGGTCCCCCCCCACCCCCCCCCCCCACCCCCCACCCCATCCACACATAGGTACGAAGATCATCAGAGGGGTTCATTATGACCGGCTCACTCGCTGATGCGGCAGGCCTTCTGACTGGGACATCTGGCGCCAGATCGACACAGGGATTGCGACACAGATTGACACAGGGACCTCCCTGACGCAGAAGAATCCATCCCCAGCATGGGGAGTCCAACAACTGGTACCGGGATACTAATTCAGCTTATTGAAACCTGTTTGAAACGCTGCCGAGAACCCCGCGCTCGGCACTGGGGTCTCTGACTGACACAGGGGCTTTTCACTTTCTCATTATGAATGCAAACCCCCGCATGACCATTTCTTACGTCTTCTTTCACTGTCAAGAGGGCCCCGACCAACGCAAGAGGCCATTTGAAATTTGGGGCTCCATCCATGTCTAGTAAATGTGCACCTGGCCGACCTGGGACTCACCGCCGAAATAAGACCCCGTGTCAAGTACTGTGGGCCCTGACCAGCACAGGGGTCCTGCACTGTTCCAGAGGCTCCGGCCAATGCACAAGGCCCGCTGATTGGCATTTGCAGGCCTCGGCCTCGCCGCCACTCGGCAAAGGGACTTTTAGGGCCCAGACCGGCACGAAACCGACTTCAACTTGACTTCAACGACGACGATTACTGGTGTTGGTGGTCTCAATCAGCTGACTGAAAAATGGGCCCTCATTGCCCCAGGGGAACCTCCGATCGGTGCAAGAGTTACTTTGTTATTTGAGTGTCCGACCGTCAGGCTGCAGTCCCTTGAATGGCTCCTAGCCTGCCTTTAAGACCCAGCAATCCGGCCACTGATCATCGGCCGCAAGGGGCTCAGGGGACCTCTCGGGATCTTCAGAACCCTTGGGTCTAAGTAGCGGTGTGGGGGGAGGGGGGGGGGCGATGGTAACCGTGCCTCTGTGTATCCTACCCTTCCCCGCTCTGCGCGCGCTCCTTATGGTGGTACCATTGAAATTGCGTTCCCCATGAAAATACATATTTGGGGCCATTTCTGGTGTTACCTGAAAATTGTCGTCACGTAATAAAGGTTCCAGGCACCTTGTTGTGCGACCTTGCAATTGGGTGCCTCTTGAAAATAAAGGGTATGCTGCCCCGAACTGATTGCTTTGGGTGCCTCTTCGCCGAACGGACCGATCTAGGAGTACATCTGAATGGAAGGAACAATAATTCTGATCCCCCTAGATTTTGGTTCCCTTGAAAGAAAAGCTTTGGGGCACCTTTCATCACCAGCTTGGATTTGGTGCCTTCAGGAAATAGCCTTCATGATGCCCCGAAAAGGTTTTGGGGGCTTTTATTTGCCTAATGGGCCGGCACAGGATTTCTATGATGGAAACCTACTGGCACTGCGCTGTCCTTTGGAACTTGTTGTGTCTTTAAAATGAAGATTCTGAGGCTCTTGTAGTGCCACCTACAACTTGTTTGTTATCCTACTCGCCCAAGGGTCCCATCCAATATCGCATTGGGGTAGGGGGTATAGAATGGTTATGCCCCTGACGAATTAATTTCCCAGTAAGAGAATGTTCTCCATTTGAAGGTGGTGAAGCAGGTATCAGATATGATGAAAAAACTCACTATCGATATATTTCAAATTGTAAAAGTCTGCCATTGACAACAAAATTTATCCATTCGGTAAACATTCTCCTCACTGCGTCACTGTTTGATGGCGTCATGGAGCATTTGTATGAGGTGCTGCCAAACTAGCGGTGCGAAATTGCCAGTCTAGCACTCCTTTGTAGTACTTCAACTTGCCGAAAGACAACGGTGGTAGTATTGGGCGTGTTTTCTGAACCAAATATCGTTTTGGGTGCGTGTTTCAACCCTTCCTCTTGGTGTTCTTGCATATTTATCCGTGAGTTTAAGTTGCCTATTTGCAGTAAGTTTAAGTCGTGTACCTGTTACATGCTCACTTATGGTGCGATTCTTAAGTTACTAGATTACAAGTCTTATTTCTGTGATAATTAGCACCCATATTCATTCTTCTATTTTGTAGCACAAAACGTGATTTATGTTTGCAATTGGCACTGCTTGAGCAACATTCATTGGTAGCCAGCGGAAGCCCATTCAATCTGGAAACCGTGCTCACGAATGCCAGACATGAACGACTCAAGTATATTCGTTTTAGTCTTGAATGCTGGATGGCCAACAAGGCGGCAGTGCTTGAACGACGCTCCTGTGGCGTCGTTTATGCCTGGGTGAGTTTGAAATAGCTTGTAGGAATTAGTCTGCACCTCTCCTGGGGCTCATCTAACTCAAAAACTAAAAAATCTTAGGTCTCGAGAAGACAAACTGCGAATGTGGAGCACACCCTTTCAAAAGTGACATGGATTTTTTTCTGGACAGGACATGCTCAATTTCTTAGTCTACAATGAGACATGCACTAACTAGAAAGGATCCCTCTCTTAGACCATGATGAACCCTTTGGCCCCTCTAATCATCAGGGGGCACTTTCAGAGCCTGTGATGGGCCCTCTCTATACCTGATGTAGGCCCGACTCAGGCCTGAGAGGTGAGATGGGTTTTTTCCGGATCTAAGATGTACAGTTATCCAGTCAAACAATGGCCCTCACCAGACTTGAGACGAGTGCTTCTGAAATTATGATGGACCTTTTCCAAATTTTCCAGATCTGCGGGAGCCCTCTCTGATCCTACGATACGTTCTTGCCTGCTCTGAGATCAGCCCTTTCTGAGTTTGTAACAGTCCATTCCCAGATCGGAAATGAGCCCCACCGGGCCTGATGCTTGTGTAGACTATACTGAAATGAACGATTTTCGGCTTAAGATGGACTCTCTGCTGCCTAACTTGAACTCTTTCTGAGCCTGAGTTGGGCCCTCTGCGCTTACTTTGGTAACGCAATTAGAGAATTACTTTCACGTATCCGAAGGGTTCTTCTACCCTGCTCTGTGTGTGTGTGTGCGTGTGTGTGTGTGTGTGTGTGTGTGTGTGTGTGTGTGTGTGTGTGTGTGTGTGTGTGTGTGTGTGTGTGTGTGTGTGTGTGTGTGTGTGTGTGTATGTGTGTGTGTGTGTGTGTGTGCGTGTGGGTGTGGGTGTGGGTGTGGGTGTGGGTGTGTGGGTGTGGGTGTGTGGGTGTGGGTGTGGGTGTGGGTGTGGGTGTGGGTGTGGGTGTGCGTGGTTGTGTGTGTGGGTGTGTGGGCGTGGGTGTGGGTGTGGGTGTGTGGGCGTGGGTGTGTGGGTGTGGGTGTAGGTGTGGGTGTGGGTGTGGGTGGGTGTGGGTGTGGGTGTGTGTTCTTGTGTGTGTTTGTGTGTGTGAGTTGGAGAAGGGCACCCGATGGTTTTTCCTCAACCCCAAGAGATGGAGGGGGCAGTTTGATTCGCCGCAACGCACTGCGTGGCGGTCTTCAGACCAGGGAGCTAAAATCGCTTTTGAACCAGAGTGGAAGTGAAAAATTTAATCGCAAAAAGACCGTGCCGGAGTGAAAAAATCAGTTCACAAAATATGGAACTTATGAGCTCGTGACTGATGCTTCAGCAAACAAAGACATCTATCTCAAGTTGGCATGGACGTAATATCAGAAACCTTACAAAACTGTTTTGTTTTTAACATATTAGGCCATCAAATGAAACGGAATACATTACAGCATAGTAATTTCACGACAGTGCAATTAGCATAAACGATTATTAACACAAATAATTCAAAATTCAACAAGCGTAAAACACTCAAACAAACAAAAAACTTGGACTCTTTCACAACAGCTCATCACCAAGTCAAACAAAATAGACATATCTCTGGCTTCTGTTAAGATAGGGTCAGGGAAAACAAACCTTTTGTCACTGTTTCTTACAAAATACCAACGCTTATTTCCATGAAAGCAGCATAGCTATGCCTTACCTGAAGAGGCCTTACTTCATCTCATCCTGTCTAACCTGTTTGTATCACAGCAGCAGTTGTGAGTTACTGATTCTTGCACAATTCCTATTGCCACTTGCCATGCACTAAACCAACTTAACCTAACTTAGAGAAGCCGATATGTTGAACATCATCTCAACCCACCTATCTGTTGACAGCAGCACTTGTGATAAAAACACGATAAGGCTAATTTTTGGTTGGTTTCAACTTGCATTTTTATTCAGTTTATTTGTGTATACTTGTTGACATCAGACAAAGTTGACAACACACAAATCAAAACACTTTAAATGACTTTGAACAACTTATTTTGATTGCCATGGTTAACCTATGTCAAGGGAAATCATGGGTATAAACAATCTGTCTTTTCCAAAAGTAACATAACTTTTAGCTGACCATGCCAGTATGGCTGCTTGCCTTTTCAGCTACATCAAAGGCATCTATCTAGGCTTGTTTATTCATATTTAATGGCAAAGTCTGAGGTGTTGGCTTCACAATTTTAAATGTGATATTCTGACTATTTGTTACATATTAATATTCAACTCAAATTATAATTTCTATGCACTTTAGGGTATCCCTGTGTTCAAGATATAGTGCATATATACAATACAGTCACTTGCCAGTCAGCAAACCATGACAACTATTAAAAGCATCTGGTTGAAGCAGTCTTGAGGAAACAATTCAGGAAATTTGGGGCAAATAACCAAGAATATGGAACAAATTAGCCCACAGCATGCCTTGTGGCATCATAATTTGTCTTATGACAAAACCCTTTGCATTAAAAGAAGAAATGTCTAACTCTGGTTAGCAATCATGTGTTCAAAGCGGGTAAGGTAAGCAATTAGTTGGTCCACAGGAGACTTACTGGCTTCTTCCTGCTCCCCCAACAGAATAAGTCAGTACATTTTGCATGGTCTGCTGGCAGAGTCATCGCACTCACCCACCAAATATAAATATCAATCATGTCCACCAACCTACGAGATTAAAATGCGAAACAAGTACGAGGTGTGCATGATAAACATACTCAGAAGGCAGAACTTCGCCATCAGACACTTCTATATTAGCTGCGTCAGGTCTGTCACAAAGCTCTGTATGACAGCATTAGAATAGCCTTGTCAGGTAGCCTGGTGAGTTAGACACTCGAAAGGTTTGGATTTGCCATTATTGAGCACTGCCATGAACCAAGCAAACAGTTATTCGAGGGTTTAACGGGGCAAAAATGGCGGTAAAAATAAGTTCCGTGCTTCAAATTGTCTCCTTCATTCGCTGTGAATAGTTCACCCTTGGGCGCATATCAAAAATGTTTGATCAGCTGGCGAATTAATCCAAGTTATGTATGAAATACGCAAAGGTTTGCAGTTGGGGCATCTTGCAAAAGAATCGGTTGACATCTTAAGCAACAGATGGTACCTCTAAAGACAATCGAGAGGGAAGGAAGACTAAAGTGATATCACACTCGTATGACACAGATAAAACAAAAGTAGTTAAATGAATATAAAGGCTTATACTTTTCCCGCAAAATTTTGTAATCAGCTGATTTCACTTAAAATATGTTAACGTGAGTGCTCAAATAGTGATAGCCAACTTTATCAACCTAATTTAGAAGACATTTCTTGCATTTTTTACCACTGCATTTCGGGAGTGATGCAATTGAGTGGCCAAGTTTCTTCGGGAAAAAAGAAATACGTGGAGTAAAATTATCTACCAAGCCTTGCTGGTGTTTGCACCAGGCTCTGCTTTCGTGGTGTGGTGGTGAGACTAAAAAATAGGGATGCGTGAACACCTTGCATTTGGCACACAGCTGCCGATTGTGATGCATTTTGTAAACAAACTAAACTTAGTGCGTGCAAGCGGCTGGAGTCGCTGGAGTTCTTGTGCTTGGAGGTACCTGGCACCCTTGCTCTGTGCATACATAGACATGATTCAGATGTAGGTGAGGCAGGACATACCCATCGGTGTCAAAGGTTCTGTGGAGCCTCGTTTATGCTTGATGGTTTCGAGTGGGCCCAGTTTTGGATGACATCCGAAAACCTTAAAAGGGAAATGGGGGTTTCGCATGTGCGATCAGACAATGTCAGGCAGGAGCTAAAAATTGACAAAATATGGGGGAAAAGGAGTGAAAAATTCCTCCTCATCGGGAGGAAGGTGTGTGTGTGTGTGTGCTTTACACCCAAAGTCGGCGAATCTAGGACGCTGCGTCAGACACATCGCAGAGCCTGTAGCCACTGGTCACCTTGCCACGCCTTTACCACCACTGCCCATCATCTGGCCTGGCCACCTTTCTTTTGATTGATCAAACTCAAGGATGTGTATAATTTTTACATTCTTCAGTGTTTAATATATATATATATATATATATATATATTGAAAGAATAGTCATGTTGTCGTATATATACATAAATATATATATATATATATATATATATATATATATATATATATATATATATGTGTGTGTGTGTGTGTGTGTGTGTGTGTGTGTGTGTGTGTGTGTGTGTGTGTGTGTGTGTGTGTGTGTGTGTGTGTGTGTGTGTGGTGTGTGTGTGTGTGTGTGTGTGTGTGTGTGTGTGTGTGTGTGTGTGTGTGTGTGTGTGTGTGTGTGTGTGTGTGCGTGTGTGTGTATGATGCTGAAACAATACATTTGCTATCTCTCCATCTGGGATGCCATTTTTCTACGTTGTTTCTATGACGTTACAATCGCAACCAAAGCCGAACTCACCTTTTTATCGTACCGGTTAAAATGCCCGCCGGATCCTGACCCAATCTGTGACAGAACGACGTTGATCGTAGCGCAGCCATCATCACCGGTCTGCAACCAAGAATAGCAACCACTACAGCAATAAACCACCATCTCCACTCCCCTCCCCCTTCTCCACCCGTTGACGAGCATATCAGGCCTGCACTGGCATTGGCGTTACCTGTGCTATACTCTCTTTTTCTCTCCTTTGTATTGGGATGGACACTTTCCCCATAAGCAAGATAATAGACGCGTATCAGTCCTGTTCCCATGCAAGCTCGGATGCAGTTTAGATGGTTTGCGCTGGAACGTTCCACCATTGAGAACTGCAGTGCCGTCCGTCCATCTGGCAAACACCAACCTTGTCCGCGTACTCGTTGGGTCCGACAGTTATCGCTCGTTTGCGTCGAGTAGACCTCCTCTGTACAGAGAGAAGTCCTCCGGGGGCAGCCGAGCGCTTGGAACAGGCAAGAAATATGACGAGCTAGTTAGCATACATCAGTCATAGGTTGATTGTACAGTAGTACGACCGCTGTATTGCTGTCTCTGTTGATTTTCGGTCTGTAGTAAATGGGCAGTTGTGTCTATTTGTTCATTTTGATATTAATGTAGTTTCGTAAAAGATGTTGCAGGTTTGTGTGCTTTTAACATGTGTTGCCCTTAAGATACAAAACGCAAGCAGTCGTGCAAGGGTGACCACAAACTACTCATGTTGTGTTTGAAAAATATAGTGTGTTTTGTTATCGCTCACCGTTATCCTTGACGATCTTGCCGACAAATTCCGTCGGGCTTTCTCGGCAGTCATCACCCTGGTTGGACCATCTAAAAATCAAGAAAAGTTGTTTCGCACTGTTTGCATACTGACCGTAGTGCCCTCTGGCCGCTCCGCTGAGAACAAGGCGTGCAGTGTTGCACGCTGCAGCTGAAATATTCACAGCGTAGGCCTTCAGCGTACAGACTACTCTAAGAGTTATAGAGGAATCGTATGCGATAGCTGTTGCGTCAGTAAGCAGATGGACATCGAAAACAGCGAAGAGGAGCTAGGTGCACGTAATGATGATGAAAAGTAGTAAAGGAATGTGATGGGTGTTGGCTGGTAGCACCGCGCTACAGGTCTCCTTAGGTGCCACGACACTGCAGGGCATAGGTCTTCTCTGAGTTTAACATTTCAACTCTGATTTGAAAGGTTCAAATATGGACACACGACCATCTATGTCAGGAAGATCAAGATAGAAGAATTAGCATTCAAGATGGTAGTGGCCACCATCTCGAAATCTGAGAAGTGCTCAAGGCTGCACGAACAAAATTAAGCTGATTTGGTTTTCCTTATCATATAAAACATATTTCGGTGAAAATTTCGTGATAGTCAACAAAACATCGTCAACATTTTGACAACCTTACTAATAGTCCTAAAATTGTTACAAATGGCCAAAAAACCTCTCATCCAAATCGCAAAAAGCTTCCTATTGCTGGCCGTCGACCAACAGTCAGTGACTTTAAGCCATTTTCATAGCACTGCTTACTTGGGATTATGTTAGAGGACCGTCGGGGATTTACGTAAGTACGGTCCAGATCATCTAGCCTCGTTCTTGTAGGTCATGGTAATGTTATATTGATTTTGTTTTTTATTCTTGACGATAGTGTCCCCGAGGTCGGTAGAGCGGTACCCTTGAACAGTACAACCGTCCCACCACCTTCCCACCACCTCGTCCCATCATCTAAAAACAAAAAAGTTGCTTCGCACTGTTTGCATATACCTGTGATTTCAAGTTTTTGACACAGCTCAGAAATTGGGGATCAGGCGAGTTGTTCCCATTCTACTACATTAGCTGAATGAAAATTGGATCCCGCACTTAGCAACGATGGTTTATCAAAAATGCGTTCTAAGTTGTTGACACCATATAAACCTCCGTGTTTCTGTTTTTGGATTTTGTATTGCTTTAGACGATAGCACAAACCAATTACTTGCTTCCAGGAAAACACGGACTAGTGATGTGGAAATATCAGAGGGGAGGGCAGGCGGAAGCACCAGTATCTGGATTATGAGTTGATAGTTCTTACGTTGGGTAAACAACCTTCAGTATACCAGGGGGTACTGGTTGAAACATGCTGTAATGCTAAATAACAATGCTATTGACGGTACTCGATATTTCGAGCCATGCTTATCCTCAAGATCACCCAGACACTAATCTCAAACTTTATCGTTCACAAATCACCTATGACACCCGGTAAAAGCAATGTTGCACATTTGAAGATATGAAAGCAAGAATCAGATTTGATGAACTAAGCTTACTTTTGACTATTGTCATGTTCTTAAGTGTAAAAGACTGCTCTGGACAACATAATTCCTCTGTTTAGGAAGTATGCTGCTCAATACGTCATTGTTTGATGACATCAAAGGCACCCCGCACAACATTCAATGAGAGCCATTTAAACGCCGTCATGCTTTGGAAGTCCTGCTCGCGAACGCCAGACATATATATATATATATATATATATATATATATATATATATATATATATATGCCTGGCATAGGTCTTCTCTGAGTTTAACATTTCAACTCTGATTTGAAAGGTTTATGTATGGTTACACGACCATCTATGTCAGGCAGCTCGAAATAAGAGAAATAGTTAGCATTCAAGATGGTAGTGGCCGTCATCTCCAAGCTGATTTAGCTTTCCTTATCATATAAAACATATTTCGATGAAAATTTCGCAATAATCGACATAACATGGTCAACATTTTGACAACCTTACTAATAGTCCTAAAATTCTTACAAATGGTCAAAAAACCTCTAATCCAAATCGCAGAAAGCTTCCTATTGCTGGCTGTCGACCGACAGTCGGTGACTTTAAGCCATTTTCATAGCACTGCTTACTTGGGATTATATTAAAGGACCATCGGGGATTTACGTCCGTACCGTGCAGATCATCTAGCCTCGTTCTTGTAGTTATTGCTGTTCCAAAGGTTCTGGTGATTCTTCTTGACACTGGTGTCCTCACAGTCCCTACAGCGGCATCCTTGGTGAAACTTGTCCCATCATCTAAAAAAGAAAAAGTTGTTTTGCACTGTTTGCATATACCCTGTGATTTCAAGTATTTAACAAAGCTCAGAAATTGGGCATCAGGCGAGTTGTTCCCATTCTACTACATTCGCTGAGTGAAAATTGGATCGCGTACTTAGCAACGATGGTTTATCAGAATTACGTTCAAAGTTGTTGACACCCTGTAAACCTCCGTGTTTCTGTTTTTGGATTTTATGTCGTTTTAGACGATAGCACAAACCAATTACTTGCTTCCAGGAAAACACGGACTAGTGATGTGGAAATATCAGAGGGGAGGGCAGGCGGAAGCACCAGTATCTGGATTATAAGTTGATAGTTCTTACGTTGGGTAAACAACCTTCAATATACCAGGGGGTACTGGTTGAAACATGCTGTAATGCTAAATAACAATGCTATTGACGGTACTCGATATTTCGAGCCATGCTTATCTTCAAGATCACACAGACACTAATCTCAAACTTTATCGTTCACAAATCACCTATGACACCCGGTAAAAGCAATGTTGCACATTTGAAGATATGAAAGCAAGCATCAGATTTGATGAACTAAGCTTACTTTTAACTATTGTCATGTTCTTAAGTGTAAAAGACTGCTCTGAACAACATAATTCCTCTGTTTAGGAAGTATGCTGCTCAATACGTCATTGTTTGATGACATCAAAGGCACCCCGCACAACATTCAATGAGAGCCATTTAAACGCCGTCATGTTTTGGAAGTCCTGCTCCCGAACGCCATGTATATATATATATATATATATATATATATATATATATATATATATATATGTATACCTGGCATAGGTCTTCTCTGAGTTTAACATTTCAACTCTGATTTGAAAGGTTTATGTATGGACACACGACCATCTATGTCATGCAGATCGAAATAAGAGAATTAGTTAGCATTCAAGATGGTAGTGGCCACCATCTCCAAGCTGATTTAGCTTTCCTCTCATTTCAGTTTCATGTAAAACATATTTCGATCAGATCATATAGATCATATAAAACATATTTCGGTGAAAATTTGGCGATAGTCGACATAACATGGTCAACATTTTGACAACCTTACTAATAGTCCTAAAATTCTTACAAATGGCCAAAAAAACCTCTAATCCAAATCGCAGAAAGCTTCCTATTGCTGGCTGTCGACCGACAGTCAGTGACTTCAAGCCATTTTCATATCACTGCTTACTTGGGCTTATGGTTGGCGTCCCAAATGAAGCTTTTGGTTGGCTGAGGCGGACCGTTAGCAGAACACCAGCCGAAACGAGAGGCTTGCCAAACGTGTACCTAAGCAAAGTGACGGCATGAGAGGATGAAACTGCGGAACAGTCGACAGAGGACATGATAGTCTAAAGCAAACATGAGAAATCAATGTCGGCCTGAAACGAACGGTGGGATGTGTCGAGAATCTGAAACAGACGTCGGCCAGGCTCGGCAATTTCAAGCAAGCAGGATGAGCTGACAGCCCGAAGCAGGTGGTAGAGGCGGTGACATTTTCAAAACAATGACCCGAGGAGGTGATGCCATCTTCAGATAGATGACACAAGGAGGTTATACCTTTTCCAAGCAGATGACACGAGAAGTGAAATGATGCGATCATGAGACAGCTCTCAGAAGATGATAAAACACTGCAAGTGAGGTTGGGATGCGGTGACATTCTGAAGCAGATGATGTGCGCAAATAGCACCATAACACGGACGACAGCAGTCGTTGACACTCTGAAATAAGCAGGAGATAGCAATGACAGGCGGCAGCTGGTGGTGACCTTAGCCAGGGTTCAGGGCCGAGTAGCATCAGATATTCTGAAACAATTCCGAGTGGGTGGTTAAATTTTCAACCTGTTGGTGGCAGTAGGCGAAGTCCTTAAACAGTGAAAGATGGTGGTAGCCTAAAATGGACGGAAAGCGTGATGGCATTTTTGATGCACGAGGGTCGGTGACTTCCAAAGACTTACTGCAGAAGACCGTGATGCCCTGACAGAGATCGAGAAAGGTGGTGTTGACATGGCTACTATACACAGGCCACGGCTAGTGGTAACATACTACATGCATACCTTTCATCTAAGTGTCATCTGATCAGCACACATGAGTTATTATCAGACGAGACTTAAGTATAACTGGACGCATTAAGAGTGTGAGAGGAGTACATCTGAACGACGAAACCACGGGGAAGAGGGCAACCATTATGTCCGCTTTCTATTTTCTTTCTTGTCTTTCCACATTGTATGTGACTTTCCCCGATGTCTTCAACTGCCAATACGAACTTGGTGATATACAATGAAAGCTGTGGATGTGGAATGATTTGTTGGTAAGGTTCTGAGTACTTATTCACAACATTTATTTCAACCAGCAGTGTTATCAAGCTTTTGTTTCCCTTTTCCAGATATCGAAGTAAGCATCAGACATGGCAGAAGGCTCATTTGTAACGACTGGTATGCATTTCGGTGCAAAAACCTACTCTAAATAATGCAAGTTTACTATTACGTGAATATCCTTCTTAATACGTTGTCATTTGATTAGGGCATGTAACATTGTCATGAAATAGAGTCGTCGCCAGACTGGCCTTGTCATAGTTATGACTGTAGTGGATGGTATGACACACTTGTGGTACTGGTACATGCCGCAAGGTGGCGTTTGCGTTCTATTGATTTAAGTCTATGTCACTAGTTTGACCATTTCTCGTGGTGCTCGTATATATTTTCCATGACTGCATGCTTCTTACTTAGACGTACAATTTTGATCATGGCGCTATTATGTTCTTTAATTTATATTATTGTGTTATGCTGTGGTTATTGCATTCTATTCCGCTGTTTGATTCTCAGGTGTGTGTGCGTCGTAACTAGAATTAGCCAAAGAACGTGTATCATTCATCACCAAACGTGATTCTTGACTGAAACATGTAATCAACAGCTGATTCGACTGACAGCCACATATCTCCTTTGTTAAAGGGAATGCTTCACATTTGAAGGTATTGAAGCGACGGAACAGGTTCACTCATAACTATTGGTACGTTTTTTAAATTGAAAAGACTGTTCTAGACAGCACAATTCTCTGTTTAGTAAATGTGCTTCTCAATGCGCCCTGACTAGATTACGCCATCGTACATTGCACAACATCGAAGAAAATCCAACTGACGGCCGTTATATCTGGAAACTGCGCTCACAAACGCCAGATATGAACGCCTCGACGGTTGTGTTTTTCTTGGCCTTGATAGCCGCATGGATTAAGGAATGGCAGGATTTGAATAACGTTATTACGTCATTGAAATGCTCTCCTTAATATACCTTTCCCGATTTTCGCGGACGTATAGCTCGGAAACTAGAGGGTCTTAGGTCTTAAGAACGGCAGGGTTATGAACAGCACCGAAAGGTTTGCAAGACCGCTATTTCAGTTCAAACCACCATATAGCTGTGAAACACTCCATTTAAAACACTTGGTGTTGAATCACTGCGAACGCGAATAATTCAGTGGCCTTATTCGTCTTGACCATTAGCATAATATACGCAATAAGACACCCCAATGTGATGGGGTAGTTGCATGACGTTTCTATGGCATCATGCTTGTCTGAGTAATGAGTGGCTTGAGAAAAGACAGGCGCAAACAGGTCGCACTAAACAGGTTGGTATGTTCGTATGCATCGAGAAACAACGGGGCTTCACGTATTAAAAAGGCATTTCTGTTACCTGCAGGGAATACTCTTAGAAATGACTCATTTGAAAACACTAAAGGAAAGCAAAACAGTCCCTTTAAATACGCATCGCGTCATCCAGCTTTTCCCCCAACTAATGCAGACAGTAGCATTGACGAGAAAAACAGTCAGAATAGTTTGGAGCGTAAACAACAAGTCAGGGGTAGGAAACCTACATTTGCCTTTGTTAATGAGCCGTAAGACAATTTTAACCACACGTTGTTGCACCCTTGCATTAAATTCTCTCTGAAATTGTCTAGTTGAACTGCATCCAGTGTAAACTCAGCGTGAAGACTGAAAATCACACCAAGCATCTCCGCAAATGTTTAGGACGAATGACACGCTTTTCAGAAGTGCTCTGCGTGTACTTTATCTCAGCTGCTCTTTGCGTAAGTTGTTGCTTTTTACATCAACGCGAGATTACATCTCATTATCCGATTTTTTCCGAAGATGAACACCAACATCAGATAAATACTGATAACAGGCATTACCGACAGCAATGAGCGCGAACTAGATTATCATGTTTGCAACGCACGTTTTGAGCGTCGGCACGCATTGGTGGTGCTTTCTTTGCTCCGAGGAAGTGTTCAAGCTGCGTTTCCTTTCCATCAGGATCCTTGTTTGCCTGTACCCACTAATACGAATCTGAGTCATGAGCCTTCAAGCACTTTGCAATTAGAGAATGCAATCAACACCTTGTTGCATTTACCAACGATTGGGATAAGCTGGACGCCTCTTAAAGGAATCACGGTACCCCGAACAAGACCTTTAAAAGCACCATTGACCAAAAAGCATTCAGCAATTTTCAGCTGCGGCTATCTCACTTGGCACAGACTTTGATGGTCATGACGCTGGAGTCCCTGAAGACTGTGCCCGGGGACGACACGGACAGCTCAAACCGAGGCGGCACGAACTCCTCCACATCGAAGTGCTGCACTGTGGTAGGACCCTTCTGCCGCTTCACGTGGATCGACCACTGGCCCTACGAAGGGGCGACAATGGCGCGGCCTCAGCACCACACGCCTAGAAAGTCAACGTGCCATCCGGATACGAACGTATACATGAGAGTAATCACGCACTGCATGTTGATTGGTCCACACCAACGATTTTGCCGTCCGACCAGTTCTGATACATTCGTATGTGAACACTTCACAAAGCTATCCTCGCCTTCATGAAGGTTACCGAGGGCCAGATCCCAGCGACCTCAGTGGTGGTTATGCCCATGGGCTTGTAGGACGTGTGGACGATTCGTTGGAGGCCAACGATGGTTGAGAATTAGGTGATAGACAAACTAAATCGGTTGAGTGGTTCCGATGAGCAGAAACAGGTCGTGGAAGCTATGTGCATTTGGTGCAAATGGGTACATGGTTATGTATGGGTATATGGGTACAAGGCATGCTATGAACTAACTGTGCTGTTCTGGTAGAGAACGGCAGGCAGAGACGTTTTTAGAATAATGTACCGAAACAGCCTATTGCCAGTCCACTGCAGTCAAGTTACCTAGCGATTGCATATTTATAAAACTGCACGAGAGAACACTGATCACGTTTTAGCAGGCGTTGCATTATGATTATGCAGGCAACGAAGACAATTTCCGAAATGACCAACGTAATTAGCAGAGAGCGCGCAAACACATCAGAACTTTAACCGATACGCATGCCAGTGGCACTCCACCTTTCAGACTTAATGGCTCCACAGACCACACGAATTGAGTGCCGAACAACTGATGTCATGTGCCTTTCCGGGTTAGCGCACGTGCCTACCAGGCACCGCTATGTGCATTTAGATTGGAATGCTGGCAGTATGAAACTGTTATTGTCCCCTGTACATCTGTGACTACCTCTGCTCTTACGCACAGCCACCTCACTTTTTCTACACAACACAGCAAGTGTACAACTATCACATCTCCCTCCACTAAGCAATGCAAAGCGCACCAATGACGACCTCTATGTACAAAGTTCATGGCTGCCTACCGTAATTATTATCAACTAAAATGTGTGCTCTCAAAAAGTTTACAACGACCCCAGCGTACGAGCACTCCTCAGTTGCCAAAACTCTCTGAATCGACGCTGTGCACCTACCAGCGGTGGCTCCTCGCTCAGGTGGATCTCTCTCTGCACCATCCCAGTGACTATTTCCACATCCAGCCATTGGGCCAGGCGGGTACCGTCGGGCGTGGTGACCCAGACCTCCTTAATCTGCGGGCAGCAGGCAACTTCACAGACCCAAAACGATGTGGGAAAGGTAGCACAGCCACATCATGTTGACAGTTGCTATGTCTTACGTGCATTTCATACGTGAACTCACGTAATGCAAGATAGCGATATGGGAACACTGTTAGCACTGACCATACATAATACTAAGCGTGGCAAACCCATACTCTCTGCGTGCCCAGGACCAGCACGCTAAAACGTGGTCTGCCCCTCCAAATGCGATTTAAACTGAGTATGAATTGTGAATGCCTGAGCTTAACAACTAAGGAAAATATTGTATGGCATTCATCCATGAACCATTCTACTTCATATGATGCTAAAGTAAGAATATATTGCATTTTATACCAAGCCATTGGTATACGGCTAAAAATGTACGTTATACAACATTTCAATCCATATATTCATTGTCAGCCTGTAGGCTTTCTCTCTCCCTCTCTCTCTCTCCCTCTCTCTCTCTCTCTCTCTCTCTCTCTCTCTCTCTCTCTCTCTCTCTCCTCTCTCTCTCTCTCTCTCTCTCTCTCTCTCTCTCTCTCTCTCTCTCTCTCTCTCTCTCTCTCTCTCTCTCTCTCTCTCTCTCACTCGTTTTCTATTTCACTTGTCCTCTTTTACTTTCCTTTTTCTTTTTCTCCTTCTCTCGGCCCTCTTCCCTCTCCATTCCATTCTGCCTGTCTGTCTATGTCTCTCCTTTCATTTTCTGCTACGCCAGTTTCCACTCTCCCGCCCGTTTGTGCTCCTTCTTCATACGGACCCGTGCTGTAGCACTTACTTTTTCATCCAGCGGGGTGAAGTCGTGCCGCAGGGAGATGATCCTGATTTGAACCGTCTTTCCCGGCTGGTATTTTGCCTTATCCGTCTGGACGAGGGTCACCAGCACATTCGGAAGCACGCGGATCTAGAACCACATCCACCACATTATGAGCCTGTTGGGTGACGAGACGTGCGATCACTTGGATACACCGAGTGGCTGACTGCATTGGCATAGGCAAGGCTGTATCACATGTTTACTACTGTACACGTACCATCACGACCGAGATCTAAGCCTGCAGGCGATGTCGTATTTTGTGAGCCTGAAAGGAGACCAGGTGACACGGCCTCGCCATCATGACAGATGGTACAACTATAATGAAGAGCATATGCTCGTTATTGAATAATACAATGCATTCATTATGTATGCACACACATATACCTCTCTCTCCTCTCCTCTCTCCCTCCCTCTCTCTCTCTCGCCGCTGTTATCGTCGAACGCACTCGTTCGCTCTCAGCTCTCGCGTCTTTATAAGAAGCGAGCCTCTCGAGAGCTAGCGCTCTCTATCTCGCTCCTCTCTATATCTACTATCTGATAGATCTTCTCTCTCTCTCTTTTTCGCTATTCTCTCTCTATGCTCTCTCTCTATCTCGCTCTCTATCTCTATCTCTCTTCTATCCTCTATCTCTTCTCTCTCTCTCTCTCTCTCTCAAGTTATTGTAAGATATGTTGGTGAAATGGTTACGCAATGCTGGGGATTCTATCTCCGTGTCCTCGTTTCGAGTTTCGAAGAATTACTACTTCCTTCATTTGAGAAAGCCAGCCGCGCCCACGTGTAAAAGAGCTGCCAGGAGGACGCGGCGCGGCGACCGACAGCTGTGGTTGTGAACAAAAGGCTTGGCGGGCAGAGTCCAGCTTATGCTTACAGCACGGTGGTGCCAAAGGCAAACTATGTGGGGTGGGGATTTCACTGGCAGCTGCAGAGTGTCTGCTAAGTTATGCGACGACTGACACCTTATGATCAATTTATTTATGATAGTGCGAACTATTCATGCCGTGTAAGCGGTATATTTGACATGTGTGAAATTTGGAAATATGCTACAAGATCACTTTGCGAACCGAACTGCATGAACAAAAGACAGGCTTGCTTATCGAGATGATTTCTCAGCAAGATATCGCGCTCCTGTATATGCCACTATTTTCAAGATACACGTGAGGCAAAACATCGACCAGTGGTGATGGCATTATGCGGGCAAAGCATGAGTGACGTGTAGCGCAGACTAACAAGCCTTGACCGATTTGCTGACCCGTGCAGCGAAGACGGACAAACCCTGGCTGAGTTGCTGACCCGTGTAGTATGTAGACTGACAAACCGCGGCCAGTTCACTGACCCGTGGAACGAAGACTGACAAACCTTGGCTGATTTGCTGACCCGTGTTGCATGGAGTGCCAAACCTTGGCTAATTCGCTGGGCCGTGTGGCATAGGCTGACAAATCCGGGCTTATTCGCTGACCCGTGTGGCGTTGGCTGACAAACCTTGGCCGATTTGCTGACTTGTGTACCGGAGCGAGCTCGCCCCTGCACGCCCACGCTGACAAATATGTACTGGGCCTGGAGATTCGCGGGAACCGATACGACGAAACATTCGAAGTCGGCTGTGAAAGCGCAGAATACACTTGCGGCGACATGGGGCACGATTTGAGGAGACCGGAAAGAGGCCAAACCTCACACGCATTTCTCAATCGTATCCAGAAGTCGCCTCATGTCATAAGATGGCATACACGACTCTTTTACAGCCTTAGCAAGTGACTGCATCGCGTTTTGATAATTTTACAAGGTTGAAATAACACCCAAGACATATTCAATAGTTTAAGTGTGAGCACTATGCAAATGCCAATGTGTGCTTGCTTGATGTCCATAAATGGCTCAAAGCAAAACAATTTTCTCAGCAATAAATGCAATAACAGCATAATTTCACAAATCTAGACATGACATGGCACGGCATGCTATCGACTTCAATTGACTTCAATGGGGAAAAACAAGTTTGATCTTGCAACATTACCATTTTTCCCGATTTCCCTGAGCCCCTCGGTTCTCGAGGGGCTGGTAGGGTGATGCAAAATTAAAGAAATACAAAAGGCTATTTGCCAAATATGTCAGCACTGAGTTATAGCTTTCTAAAGGTGTAAAGAACTTCCAAAAATCGCTTTCAGCAGTAATAATGCAATTTGCTTACGGAACTTTGGACAGCCATTGTACCTTGCACGTCCGGTTTCTAACTCACCGCAAAACCTCGACCTATCATTCCAAATCGCCTCGCGCGCGCACGCGCTGAACACGCTCCTCGTTCCCGTTCACGCTTTACCTGTCGACCAGGACCTGGTCAGGTCTCTGTGCACCCTGAAGCTGTGTTTGCGGCCGCGCTCCGAGTTGGCGAACTCGATGGTAACGGGCACGGCGCTGCTGCGGCCTCGGCCGGCCCACAGCAGCCGCCGCGCCTCCTCCAGGGTGTAGCGGCGCGCCGGCGAGTGACCGCCGGCCATGTTCAGCAGGGCGATGCAGACGCGCTCATCACTGCCGGCCCGCCACACCTTCGGCGCCACCAACAGGAACCCTCTGTCCAACAACGGACAGCAGTATAGGCCGAGTCAGTGCCAGGTAAAGCCTGTCATATTATTCAGATATGTTCAGATTCCAATCTGACAGGTTCAGATTATTCATGTGACCAGATTTTCGAATCAATTGCACGGTGCAATGGCAAGGATGGTGTTAAACCTTATCTGAGCGGCTTTGTGTTTAATTGTTTTTTATCGTTTGTGTTTAATCGTTTTTTCACTTGCTACTCATATCAGTATAAGAAACAGAAAATATACCAAAGGAATGCCGCGCTATTTCGGATAGCAATGCCTCATCAGGTGACTGGCGGTCTCATGGTCAGTCAGACGATAACACATTCCTGCCCGAAAAAAACCGTGTTCCTTTTGGTCTGACTTGTATTTCTTCTGTTTATGTTCGTCGCAAATTAACGTCATTTGGATATGATTAATAATTATGTCTGGTCAAGGAAGAAGCAGGCCAAAATTAGGTTTTTCAGCACTGGTCGGTGTACTCGACCATATTTGCAGTGATGGGTGAGTCTACTAGCTCAATGAGTCTTACCGTCAGCTATCCAGATATGTTAAAGCCAGCGGTCTCCCCAGCCAGTTACGCTGTCGTCGGACTTATTACTTGGCAACCACTGGATGAACAATCATAACATTTTCAACACACCATACGCGGTACCGTAGCATATGTGCTGCAATGCTTTCAAGACAGTCTGAGTGCAGGATGCTCGATCGATTTGATGCGTATTTCAGCAGCGTTGCGATGTCCTTTCCCCTCCACTTTCATATCCTATTCATGTGGGAATGTACAATTGTGAAATTCACGAAACAGAACCTGGAAAACCAGACCGGAGGCAGGTTCAGGCCTTGGCCACCAGTCGCAGCGATCGCAGTCAACTAGCGATTAAGAAGGGAAGGCATACAATCGTACTAAACGAAGTGTGTGTCACCTTGTCCAGCACTAATTACTTCCGGAAGTTGAACGCACGAAACATTTGAAAAACGTAGCGTGTTTTCTCTTCGTTGGCGTTATCCTTCCTCTTCATTTGCGCCTCAAAAGCAATAGATACGGAGGAACAAAATGAAGTAAGATATCACCAAACAATTGAAATTGGCCGATAGCTCTCGTACTGCACCGGATTGACAGTAAAAAATGCGTCACTCTATTGCTAAAAATGTAATTTTGTCACTAACGGAGCAACGGAGCGATGAACAGTGACTATCAACCCATTCGCGTACGTCAAGAGACCATCCACATGGTGGCAACCCTCACGTCTGTTATCACCTCGCTCGTTGCGTCTGTTATCACCTCGATCGCCACATCTGCTATCACTTCGCTCGTGCTACGTCAAACAGATGGCATGGCGTCACTAGTAGGTTGACAAGAGCCGAGTTTGCCATGTGCTACTTTCGGTACTCTTCATTCAATATTAACTGCATCCCGATATTTTGTTCTGGCGTCCTAGTGCCGTACCGCAATGTTCTAGTATGCAACGGCTTAGAGCGCTTTGGGCCAGAGTTGCCTCGAAGTGGGATTCGGATCGTGCTTATTTGGACATTTAAATATGTTAAAGGGCATGTGCCACATGTGAAGAATGATGCTACATTGGCGCAAGTATCAGATTTATTGAAGTAAGGCCGCTTATAACTTTTGGTATACTTTTTAAATGGAAGAGGCTGCTCAATACAACACAGTTCCTCTGTTCAGCGAATATGCTCTTCCATGCATAATTGTTTGAGCACGTCATAACACCTTACACAATATTGATTGAGGGCTAAAAGACGGCCGTTATATCTGGAAAACGTGCCCACGAACGTCGGATATAAGCGGCTCGACAGTTATATCTTTTGGCCTTGATCACCGCATGGCTAATGAAATAGCAGAATTTGATTAACGTCATTATAGGGCCATGGATGCTTGAGTGACCTATAAGTGGTCTGCACGAAATAGTTTGCACACCTTCACGGGCGTATAGCTCAGAAACTAAATGGGTTTAGGTGTTACAAAGGGTAGGGCTGTGAACTGCACCGAATGATCTTCAAGACGGCTTTTTCAGTTCGAGACCCCATACAAATGTATAAAACAGCCGCTCATGCGAGTGTCCAGTTTTCCCATAAACAGCGATGACTTGAAATATGTTCACCGTATCGGCGAAACTACAAGTACTTAGCAGTTTTAAAAGATAGTTTTGCACGCTTAAACTAGCATTCTGTTGCTGTGATTGGTGCTAACAAGTACTGTCCATCGAATCAGTTTTAGCTTCTACATTGCGTGTTTCTTTAAACATGGTATGGCCTCTGTATCACCTGGGATTGTGATACAAGATGATAGACAATATTTTTAGCGAAATTATTCTCTTTTTTAGATGAGCAAAACGTATTTGGTGTCTTTTTTCTTCTGCATTTTCTGTTGGCAGCTACTTTGATGAAAATGCATGGTGCGTCAAAGCGGATGATAGCAAGTGCTGGCCGGCCGCCCGACACACCGACTGCCAAAGCGGATGATAGCAAGTGCTGGCCGGCCGTCCGGACACACTGACTGCCAAAGCGGATGATAGCAAGTGCTGGCCGGCCACCCGGACACACCGATTGCCGAAGCGGATAATAGCGACCGCTGGCCGGCTGCCCGGATACACCAACCGCCAAAGGTATCTTGTCCGCTATGTTACTTTTCAGGGGATTGTACAAAAGCCATGGGTTATACCAAATATGCTCTTTGGAATCCACGAGAAGAACAGATTTCAAATCAGCCTGTGCTGCTTTCGTGTTTCTAGCTTTGTAGTTCGGTTCGTCATTTTTGTTGAACCCGACGTGTTCATCCCAGTTTTATGCGTAAACGCCGCAAGAAATGCCTGTTACTGGGATCTTGTCGGTCACATTTCATTCCATTTCACGTGAAGTGTGAAGGAAATCGAATACGTTCCCTGGCGTGGCATAGCTGATACCAGTGAGAACACCGCTGCTTAGGTTCCTTTACATACTGTTCAGATTTGTGCCAGCCGTTTAAATTTATATGTGTCGGAAGGTGACTCTCACCGCCGAATGCTTCACCTGATGGAAATTTAATGTGGCGACATATCTTTGAAATGTTGTTACACAAACAAGTTCTAGCTTTCGTACATACGGGGGTGCTTTTAATGCATTTCTTTTGTCACTTGTCGTCTAATGTAATTCAATTTTTACTTGAGCACACTACCAGCCCAACATATCAATCCTTACTAGTAGACAGTGACAAGCACGATAGACGAGAGTTGTCACTTTCTAAAATCGGTGGGGATGGGGGCTCAGCCAAAAACGTTGACCCCAAAACCTGTTTTCCCCCCGTATTTTGGCCTCTTGAATTTGTGCTTGCTTCCTCCGTGCTAAAATGAACTAAAAAGCTTTTTGATGTGTCATAGATTCAAATATTTCAGAGAATATTTCAAGTTTTGAGAGCTGCCCTTTCGTGACAACCTCACAAAAGGGTAAAGTTCATAGCAAACACATAAGTCAACTTAACTAAGAATAGTTGATGACGACTGCTGTCGTCGATCGTGCTGTACATCCACCACAGCCATGATTTTTTGCGACAAATACACTTGCCACTGTTGGGTAAAAACGTGCGTTAACTTTAATCTGGGCCACCCTGTACTTTCAAAAGTTGTTACATATTGCAGTTAATCGTTTTTATTCCATTCCTAGCGCTATCATTAAAAAACTTGTCAAACATTTGCAGACTAGCTTCACATATGAAGAAGTTATACGCATGGTACTAATGGTGATACGCTTAGGTACCATCTGCCTAGTATGCCAATAGTTAAGACAATTGTTCCGTTTTATTTGGCCCATTATTCCTTCCCTACTCATGTGCATTGGAGGAGGGGAGCTCAGAGGAGCATAGGGACCTCAAGTCAGCATTGGGAGGGTGGATTCAGGTCTCCCGAAAGCATATGAAGTGACGCCTGCCCTCAAAATGTGCCATTTCACGTCACCTCTGAACAGTTAATTTGCTTTTCTCCTGCTTCGTCCAAATTCCCACAAGACGTCATGCGTTCATCCACACGATTGTATTCACGTTTGTACACAGCGGATTCCGCCTCACATGCTGCACAACGAGACTGCGGCCAGCACTTAAAACGCTCAGCATCCCGCCTGAGTCCGCTGTTTGCTGTCTCCCCCAGTTGCTGGTTGAAATGGTGGAAGAAGACATCGGTGTCGCACTTAAGATCAGTGCACAGGCATTTATGATCAGGCAATTGATCAGGCACAAGGCACAAAATATGCATATATGGTGTAAAACCGCTATCCTGGTACAACGGAAGAGAATATGTACGCCACTCCTCGCATATTTTGTGGAACAGCGCCCGGCTCGCCACCACTGAGCTCCCGAAGGGGGCGGATCGGTACCCGAACTGCTGTCCACGTTCCTCCACTGGTAAGGGGGCGGATCGGTGCCCGAACTGCTGTCCGCACTCCTCCACTGGTAAGGGGGCGGATCGGTGCCCGAACTGCTGTCCACATTCCTCCACTGGTAAGGGGGCGGATCGGTGCCCGAACTGCTGTCCACATTCCCCCACTGGTAAGGGGGCGGATCGGTGCCCGAACTGCCTGTCCCAAATTCCCCCCCCCTGGTAAGGGGGCGGATCGGTGCCCGACTGCTGTCCACATTCCTCCACTGGTAAGGGGGCGGATCGGTACCCGAACTGCTGTCCGCATTCCTCCACTGGTAAGGGGGCGGATCGGTGCCCGAACTGCTGTCCGCACTCCTCCACTGGTTAAGGGGGGATCGGTGCCCGAAATGCTGTCCACATTCGCTGGTGGGCTCCCCTGTGTCAAGGGGGGCGGATCGGTACCCGAACTGCTGTCCACATTCCGCCACTGGTAAGGGCGGATCGGTGCCGAACTGCTGTCCACATTCCCCCACTGGTAAGGGGGCGGATCGGTGCCCAAACTGCTGTCCACATTCCTCCCTGGTAAGGGGGCGATCGGTGCCCGAACTGCGTCCACATTCCCCCACTGGTAAGGGGGCGGATCGGTGCCCGAACTG